GAAAATCGAGCCCTTAGTCGTGGTCGGCACCAATGCACATCCTCCGGCTCTGGGTCCGGGAGCATTTCACCCAGCTAAGCCCTAAACCGGCGGCCCCTGCGCTCCGGTGATCATGACATGCCACTGATCGCCCCGATGGCATAAAGTTGGGAAAAGGCTGAGCTCCAAGGACGTCCACGCAGTGTTCATGTCACCAAAGGAGTTTAAGTGGAGGCCCTATGGAAATCGCAGATTTGTTTGGTCTGCGAGCCGAGAGATGGGTGGTTTTCCGGTCCGCGTTTCAGGATATAGCAACAAGTGAAGCGCTCTTGTCCTTGGCGCGGTGTTTGCACGCTTGTGAGCTCGTGGGCATGAATCGCATTCAGCAAGATAGTCCTCATCATGTTGCAAGGCAACTCGGCTTCGATCAGGACATCCCTAGGACGGTTCCCTGTGCAAGCTCAGGTTGGGAGAAAGCATGGGAGACATACAACATAGATGCCGAAAGTTCTGCATTTATCTTTCCAAATCACAAGCCGGTGTGACGGTTCAGTATGCAAAGGGGTGGAAGCCTTACTCATCAGCATGCAGTAGTGCCATTGCTAATGCTGCAAAGATGAAAGAAGGCCATGATTTTGTTAGCCCAGTGAAAAGGAAAATGGAAGGGGTTCGTGCTGAAAATTCTGGCAAGAAGCTGCGTCTGAGTGTGGCCACTCTACGGGATACAGTTGCTTTGCCGAGTGCAAAGCCCCAAAAACACTCGGCAAAGCGTTTGCCGAGTGTTACGACACTCGGTAAATTTTGTAACGGCAAACAGTCTTTGCCGAAACTCCGCCTATGGTGGGGCGCCTTTGGTGTCCCAGCATAGCAGGTCCCAAGCCCTGATAAAGGAGGAGGGTTGTGTTAGGCGTGGCGAGCCAATGTAAAAACTTAGCCACTTAAATGGAGATGAAACCCGAAAGAAAATCGTTGGGGCGTAACCCTCTTAGCGACGCGCCATATCGGAACCCGGGTATGGTGTTAAATGGGCAAGGGCCAGGTCGTCACCCCCGTGACGCGCCGTGTCGTGATCTGGGCATGGTGTCAAGTAACCAAGGATCGGGTCATCGCTTCCTTAGTGGCGCGCTACATCGGCGCCCGAGTGTAGTGAAAAATGAGCAAGGGTCTTCGCATCAGAGTCGACGGGTGCGAAGGGTAAGGAAGCTAGTTGAACCAACTAGGATCCGTTTAGGTAGTTGGAATGTAGGGTCACTTACAGGTAAGTTAAGAGAATTAGTTGATACCGCGACTAGGAGGCGTGTAAATATATTATGCGTTCAAGAGACTAAATGGAAGGGTTAGAAGGCGAAGGAGGTGGACAATACAGGTTTCAAGCTTTGGTACACAGGGACAGTCGTGAATAGAAATGGAGTAGGAGTTTTGATTGATAAGAGCCTCAAGAATGGTGTGGTGGGAGTGAGAAGGCAAGGAGATAGGATTATCTTAGTCAAGCTTATCGTTGGTGATATGGTCTTGAACGTAATTAGTGCGTATGCCCCCCAAGTAGGCCTCGACGAGAGTGCTAAGAGACAGTTCTGGGAAGACTTAGATGGCCTGGTTAGAGCTATACCTAGTAGTGAGAAGCTTTTTATAGGAGGAGATCTTAATGGGCATGTAGGTACTACAAGCGCAGGTTTCGAGGCAGTTCATGGAGGTTTTGGGTATGGTAGTAGGAATCAGGAGGGGGAGGAAGTTCTGGACTTCGCGGTAGCTTTTGACCTGATGATAGCCAACACTTTCTTTAGAAAGAGAGAATCTCATCTAGTGACCTTCAGTAGCGGACAACACTGTAGCCAGATTGACTTTGTCCTCGCAAGAAGAAAGGACAAATGAGCATGCTTGGATTGCAAGGTGATACCAGGGGAGTGTGTTGTTTCTCAACATAAGCTTTTGGTGGTAGATTTTCGTTTTCAGGTGCGTGCCCGTAGGGATAAACAAGCTAAGATTGAAAGAACAAAGTGGTGGAAGCCCGAAAGGGGAGACGTCAGAGGTATTTAGGGAAAGGGTTATCAAAGAGGGCTCTTGGAAGGAAGAAGACGACATAAACAATATGTGGGACAAGATGGCAACCAACATTCGGAAGGTAGCCTCAGAGGTGTGTGGAGTAACCAAAGGAAGGGGACGCGAGGCTAAAGACACTTGGTGGTGGAACGAGAAAGTCCAAAGGGCTATTAAGGAGAAGAAAGAATGCTATAGACGCTTGTACCATGATAGGAGTGTGGACAACATAGAGAAGTACAAGGTGGCAAAGAAAGGCGCAAAGCGAAATGTAAGTGTGGCAAAGGGTAGAGCGCGACGAGGATCTTTACCAACATTTGAGTACTGAAGGAAGGAGAGAAGGACATTTATAGGATGGCTAGGGTTCGTGAGAGAAAGACACGGGACTTCAACCAAGTTAAGTGCATTAAGGATGAAAGGGAGCATCTCTTGGTAAAGGAGGATGAGATCCGACATCGATGGCAAGAGTATTTTGACAAATTGTTCAATGGTAAGAATATGGACACAACCTTTCAGTTGGATGACTCTTTTGATGACACCAATAGGCGCTTTGTGCGGAGAATCCAAGAATCTGAGGTCAGAGAGGCGTTGAAAAGGATGAAAGGAGGTAAGGCGATGGGACCGGATGGTATCCCAATCGAGGTGTGGAGATGCCTCGGGGACATAGCTGTAGTATGGTTGACCAAGTTGTTCAACCATATTTTTCGATCAAACAAGATGCCTGATGAGTGGAGGAGAAGTATATTGGTACCGATCTACAATAATAAAGGGGATATTCAAAGTTGTACAAATTACCGGGGAATTAAGTTGATGAGCCATACTATGAAGCTATGGGAGAGAGTTATCGAGCATCGCTTGAGAGCAATAACGCGGGTCTCTATGAACCAATTTGGTTTCATGCCCGGAAGGTCAACCATGGAAGCTATTTTCTTAATAAGACAAGTTATGAAGCGGTATAGGGAGAAGAAGAAGGACCTACACATGGTTTTTATTGACTTGGAGAAGGCTTATGATAAAATACCAAGGAATGTTATGTGGTGGGCTTTGGACAAACATAAAGTTCCAACGAAGTACGTCGGGCTCATTAAGGACATGTACAACAATGTTGTGACTAGAGTTCGAACAAGTGATGAAGACACGGATGACTTCCCGATTAGGATAGGACTACATCAAGGGTCAGCTTTGAGCCCTTATTTGTTTGCTTTAGTGATGGATGAGGTCACAAGGGACATACAAGGGGACATCCCTTGGTGTATGCTTTTCGCAGACGATGTAGTGCTAGTTGATGAAAGCCGGATAGGAGTGAATCAGAAACTGAAGTTATGGCGGGAGACTTTGGAGTCCAAAGGTTTTAGACTTAGTAGAACTAAAACTGAGTATATGAGATGTGACTTCGGCACTACTACTCGGGAGGAGGAAGATGTTAGTTTGGAAGGTCAAGTAGTGCCTAGGATGGATACCTTTCGATATTTAGGATCAATGCTACAGAGAGACGGAGATATTGATGAAGATATTAGCCATAGAATCAAAGCAGGGTGGATGAAGTGGCGGCAAGCGTCTGGTGTCCTATGTGACAAAAGGGTACCACAGAAGCTAAAAGGCAAGTTTTATAGGACGGCGATTAGACCTACTATGTTGTATGGTGCAGAATGTTGGCCTACGAAAAGACGACATATTCAACAGCTAAGTGTCGCGGAAATGCGTATGTTGCGTTGGATTTGCGGACATACAAGAAGGGATCGAGTTCGGAACGATGATATACGTGAGAGATTAGGGGTAGCGCCAATTGAAGAAAAGCTTGTCCAACACCGGTTGAGATGGTTTGAACATGTACAACGGAGACCTTCAGATGCACCGGTGCGTAGTGGAATCCTAAGTCAGGATAGTAACGTGAAGAGAGGCAGAGGAAGACCGAAGTTGACTTGGGTAGAGGCAATAAAAGGAGACTTAAAAGGATGGAATATACCCAAAGACTTAGCCTTAGATAGGAATGCTTGGAAGACAGCTATTCACGTGCCTGAACCTTGATTGTTTCTGTTGGGTTTCAACTCTAGCCTACCCCAACTTGTTTGGGACTTAAAGGCTTTGTTGTTGTTGTTGTAAACAGTCTTTGCCGAGTGTTTTTTGTCGGACACTCGTCAAAGACTTTGCCGAGTGCAAAAAAAAAACACTCGGCAAACATTTTTTTTTCAAAAAATAAAAATAAAAAAAACAAGTCGGCCGCCGCCGCCGCCACCCTTGCTTCCCGCCGCCACGCCACGAAGCCCGCCGCCACCAGCACCAGCACCACGCCACCACCGGCCGCCGCCACCACCAAGCCCGCCTCCACCACGCCCGTGCCGCGCGCTCGGGCCTCCTTGCGGACCGCTACCTCGTGAACGCGCTGCTCGCCTTCTACGTCCGCCTCCTAGGCCACCTACCGTACGCGCTCGCCCCAGGCCGCCGGTGAGGGAGGGGAGGGGCGGGGCGGTAGATCCGGGGGAGAGGCGCCGCCGGTGAGGGAGGGGCCGGGAAGAGAGGAAGGGGAGGGGCCGGCCATCGGCAGGAGGAGGGGAGGGGGCCGGACGCCGACGGGAGGAGGGGAGGCGCTGGCCGCACGCGGTAGAGGATGGGAGGGAGTGAGTTGGGAGGGAGGGGAGGGGGGGTGTGCGTGAGGGTGGGGGGTGAGTGATTTTAGAGGCGGGTGTTTTTTTTTCTTTATTTTTTCTTGTGCCGAGTGTTGTTTTTGACACTCGGCAAACCTTTCTTTTTGCTGAGTGTTTTTTTTACATTCGTTAAACTCCCTATTTGTCAAGTGTTTTTTGTTTGACACTCGACAAACCTCTTTTTACCGAGCGTTTTTTTTTGCTGAGTATTTTTAGGATAGCACTCGAGCGCTCAACAAACGAGCAAACAATAGGCAAATTTGAGGTTTCCGGTGGGCCGGTGGCGGTGGCGCCGACCGCGAGGCGCGTGAGCTGCTCGAGCACGGCACCTTCCTCTCCATGTGGCTGTCCCTCTTCGTTCTCCCGGGCCCGCCGTTCGACGTCGTCCGTCGGGAGGTCCTTCCGCTCGCGGCCCGTCTGGCGCGCGGCCAGAGCGTGGCGCTCGCCCCCGCCGCGCTCGCCGCCATCTACCGCGATCTCTCCGCGCTCAAACGCTGCATAACCTCGGACAAGAAAGACGAGCCCTTCGTCGTCTCGGCACCAGCGCACATCCTCCAGCTCTGGGTCTGGGAGCATTTCACCCAGCTCCGCCCTGAACCAGCGGCCTCCTCTGCTCGAGGTGATCGTAACATACCACGGGCCGCCCGATGGCATGAAGTTGGCAAAAGGCTGAGCTCCAAGGACGTCCACGCAGTGTTCATGTCACCAAAGGAGTTTAAGTGGCGGCCCTATGGAAATCGCAGTTTGTTTGGTCTGCAGCCAGAGATGGGTCGTTTTTGGACTGCAGGAACAAGTGAAGAGCTCTTGTCCTTGAGGCGGTGTTTGCACCCTTGTGAGCTCATGGGCATGAACTGCATTCAGCAGTATAGTCCTCATCGTGTTGCAAGGCAGCTCGGCTTCGATCAGGACATCCCTGGGACGGTTGCCCGTGCAAGCTCAGGTTGGGAGAAAGCATGGGAGACATACAACATAGATGCCGAAGGTCCTGCATTTATCTTTCCATATCACAAGCCCTGTGTGACGGTTCAGTATGCAAAGTGGTGGAAGCCTTACTCATCAGTATGTGATAGTGCCATTGCTAATGCTGCAAAGATGAAAGAAGGCCATGATTTTGTTAGTCCAGCGAAAAGGAAAATGGAAGGGGTTCTTGCTGAAAATTCTGGCAAAAAGCTCCGTCTGCCTGTGGCCACTTCTACCCGGGGCCACCCACCCAATATTCCAGAGGGAATTAACGTCTACCCTTCCCATTCCTCAGGCAGCAATGCAGCAATAAGACGAGCTGCGGCAGCACCAGCGCCAGATGCAGCCGATGATCATCCACTCGATCACATTTCTCTTTCTGATAGGCTCAATAGCATTATTAAGATGCCTAAGCAGCCCAACACAGAATGTTTGGTGATCAGTGATGATGACGAGTGTGATAAATCAAGCAGCAAGGGACAAGAGGCAACTCGACAGGCTAAAATTGCTGAGCTGAAGAAAAAGATTAATACTCTGAAGGAAGAGATTCAGGCGCTAGAGGCAACTCCGAAATGAGTGAAGTATAACTTGAAAAAATGTAGGAATGTATTAGTCTTTATAGTATGAGTCCAGATGATTCAGTTCAGTAATAGAATGCGCTAGGCTTTCTGGTGAAACTAGTCTCCTTTGTGAATTTTTTCTTTCAGTTGTTTAATTAATGTGTTGAAGGATCCAGTTCTGAAAAAACTGTTGCACTTCGATCCAATTAGACTCCAATACTTTGCCTTGGAATGAATGAACTAGTAATCAATGGTAAAAATCGAGCCAAAGGGCTTTTTCAGCTTCTCTTATAATCCGTCTTTTTTAGCTTGTTTTTTCAGTCGGAACAGTGTTTTTCTCTCACAACAAATCAGCCGGAACAGTATTTCGGCTTGTTTTTTCAGTGAAGCGAACGGGGCCTTTGTTTTATGGTCTTGGCTACTCCTTGGATTTTCTGAGGATACCTTTTTTTTCACGACCTGCTGGTCTACCAGACAACTTTTAAATCTTACAAGGCCGGCCTACTACACCAAATGGGGTTTGAATATAAGATTAGCATTTTTGCTACTTTGCTGAGGAACTATCCATCCATGTGACCATGTGCCATTTGACGCCTGACTTACTAATTGGCAAACTGCAGGCACACACAAAGTTAGAAGATATTCTTCTCTGTTGTATTTCGATCTGAGATCTGCTTTTTAGTTTATAGCTCATTTCTCTGAACCTTGGGTCTATGCATGGTAGTTTGTAACTGTTAAACACACAGAAGTTGATACACATGTAAAATATAATTTTATTGTACAGCAATATCTCGCAACAGAAAAGATTTTAAAAAATTGTATAGAGTGAGTTCATATAATCATCCATTATCTGAAATTTTGGTTCTTGGAGAGTTAGAGTAGAATCTACACATGTAATTGCAAAAGCTAAGTAGAATCAGTAGGATCGTTGCTACCAAACTATATCTTTGTTTGTTTGCTGTTATAACAAACCTTTCCAAATATAGTTGCTCATATTCAAATATCAAACCCCCTTTCACCTTTTTTTGCTAGTTGTCATAAGTTGCATTCGGGCTGCAGTTTATCAATGTGGATCAGTAAACTAGCTTAACTTCTGAGGTTTACTTCTGAGCTTTACCGGGTCACATGGGTGCTATGGAGATTGCCAGAGGTTGTTGAATTACTCTAATGCAACTCCAAACCTGAGAGAAGCTCCGTTGCCATCTCATGAAGGAAGGCCGCATCCAGATCTTAATGCATTTAGTTTGAGGAACCATCTCATTCTAGATGAGGTGATGTATCATAAGTTCATTCCATCAAATTTGATGGAATAACTACGTTCTCTATACTAGTGCTAATTATTAGCTTGTAAGAAATAAGATGATGATGTATCTAATCATTTCATTTTACAAACCAAACAAAAAAAAAGAGTGATAAGATGATGAACTATTTTCTCAAACCAAACACCCACAGGTTCGTGTCGTTCTACCATGAAACCGCTCCCGGTGACTCTTATAAGACTTACAAATGCAAATGTACGATGCAAGTGGTATGCTTTCTAATTTTTGTGGAAGACATTGTCCAATGACGATGCTAGGTATTATTTTGCTCTTCAAAGTGAAACTTCAGTAGGTCTTTGTTAGCTAGATGCTAAAGTATGCATTTTATCATATAATTTTGTATTTATAACTGAAAGTCTGTTACTTGAAGACAACCACCTCTTAGACTTAATATCTTGTTATAGTCGTCACTTGACTTTCCTGTAATTTTTCCCATATTGAGGAGTACAATTTGATACAACATGATGCAGCTGATACATTCATTGGTGATATGCTCCTAATAATGATCATCCAGGATCCATCTTTTCTACAAGAAAACTATCCAAAACATGTCCTTTATTATTTCCTTTGTAATAGATTGCATGATCACTAGATGTTTCTCGATGGGTACAAGCTAAGGTACGGGAGGTAGAAGATAATGTTAGTCTCAAATATACAATGCTAGAGAATTTATGCTAGAAAATTAAATTAGAATTTGTATGTTTTGAACACAATTATCAGGCCAGAGGATCAATTTTCATAAAGTTGATTTGGTACCATCAATGTAAGTTATCATAATGCTATTCATTCCTACCCAGTTGTTTGGTTGTATGATTAGTCATTTTCCTTTCAATCGCTAAGTTCTTCTTCGAGGAGGATATACAGCCTATATTACAAAACCGCAGTAGCTTGTAGGAGAGCAAGGTGGTTCTCTCGTGGGAGCTCTCTAGTTCTTGTGAGGGGCCACATATGGTTCACTGTTTTGGGCAGAATCATGTGAGGAGCAATAGTATGCATGCCTGGGGCAACTCTAGCTAGCGTGCTAATGCTAAAGTGATGAAAGGAGGAGAGAGAAAGTAGTGGGAAAACTTGCATGCACTTTTTTGCTTGTTTTGTTTGGGCACCAGTTGCAAGAAAAAATAAATTTCAATTGGATTAGTTAATGGAGTCGTAGTTAGGGTAAGAGTGAAACACTCTAAATTTTACTGTCTATATTTTCATTTGGCTATTTACTCTAAAAGGTTCCCTTCCATATCATTCGTACTCCAGCAGCCTAGCCAAACGCCCAAACCTCACCATCCAAATCCTATTAGCCACTACCGGATACAGAAGGTTTGCCGAGTGCCAGGGGCACTCGGCGAAGCCCGAAAAACACTCGGCAAACCCTGTATCGGCAAACGCTAATTTGCCGAGTGTTTTTTGTCGGCCACTCGGCAAAGACGTCGCCGAGTGCCCAAAAAACACTCGGCAAACTTTTTTTTCAAAAAAAAATAAAAAAAAGACATGCTGACACCACGCCCCGCACCACCAGCACCGCCGCCGCCGCCACCATCCGCGCTGCCGTCCCCTCCGTCGCTTGGGGTGAGCCGGATCTGGAGCTCAAGGTGGCGGAGCTCGCCGGATCCACCACCTGCCCACCGGATCTGGAGCTCGAGGTGGTGGAGCTCGTCGGATCCACGCTGCCAGGCCGGAGGGAGCTCGTCGGAGGGAGAGAGGAGAGAGGGCGCGCCGGAGATGACGTAGAGCTGAGGTGGAGGAGGAGCGCCGCATCGCCGGCCCGACGCCGGTGGAGGAGCGCCGCCACCTCGCTCGCGCCTGCCGGATCCGGGCTGCTCCACGCCGGATCCGGGCTGCTCCTCGCTGGGGCGCGCCAGATCCACCGCCGGAGCGCCGCCGGAGCAGACCTCCGCCACCAGGAGACGCGCCGCCGGAACAGACCTCTGCCCCGCTCGTCGGCTGCCGCCTCCATCCCGAGAGAGAGAGAGAGAGAGAGAGAGAGAGAGAGAGAGAGAGGGCGCGGGCGCGGTGGCGCCTGAGATCCGCAGGGAGGGAGGAGGAGGAGAGAGAGGGCGCGGGCGGATCTGGGGAGGGAGGAGGAGAGAGGGGGCGGGCGCGGCGACGTCGGAGATCCGCCGGGAGGGAGGAGGAGAGAGAGGGCGCGAAGGAGGAGAGAGAGGGCGCGGGAGCGGCGGCGGGCGGTTCTGGCGAGGGAGGAGGAGAGAGGGCACGAAGGAGGAGAGAGAGAGAGAGAGGGCGCGGGCGGTTCTAGCGAGGGAGGAGGAGAGAGGGCGCGGGCGGTTCTGGCAAGGGAGGAGGAGAGAGGGTGCGGGCGCGGCGTTAATTAATTTAGTTTTTTATTTGCCGAGTGTCCTAGATCTGGGCACTCGGCAAAGTTTTTTTTTCATTTTTTTTCTTCTCATTTTTCCCAGAAAAAAAGGTTTTATTTATTTGCCGAGTGTAAAAAATAAAACACTCGGCAAACCCTCTCTTTGCCGAGTGTTTTTTTTGACACTCGGCAAACCTCCTATTTGCCGAGTGTTTTTTTTGCCGAGTGTTTTTAGCGCAGCACTCGGCAAAAAAACTTGTTCGCCGAGTGCCCAAGGGATAACACTCGGCAAACCTACAAATACTCGACAAATTTGACGTTTCCGGTAGTGGCTAGCGTATAAGTTACTGGTACTCAATATTTTTTAACCGCACTCAAACACGTGCAGATAGTGCACTTATTACTAGTTAACTTAGTGGCTTCGCATGATATTAACACTTTAGAAACAATGTCTAGCAACAATTTATGATACCTGCCTCAAGAACTTGTACCATTGTAAATAAAAGAATTCAGATAGTGCAATAAGTATTCGAAGAACTTGGTGCCATTCAAGTCATATAGATAGTGCCATTAGAAGTAAAAAGATTAGTCAATACTACTACTTCACAAAAATCAACGATGACAATCTTAATTTCAATCTCCGTAGAGCGTATAGAACTTCACAAAGAACCAAACCTGCGCTCTTCTTCAACACTACTGCAGATCTGGCAATCCCAGAGGTCTCTATCACTGCCGGTTTTATTAAAACTGGCTGTGATAACTTGCACCGAGTATCACAGCCGGTTCGTAAGAACGTTGGCATTGATAACTATCACCATAGGTTCGCATCCATCATCACAACCGGTTTGCACCACTAACCCGTGGTGATGATGTGCTCCTCATCACTGCCAGCTCACTGTATGAACTGGCGGTGAAGACGGTTTTCACCCGCCAACTTGTTGTATGTTACGACAATGATAACATTGCTGCAACACAATAAAATTTACAACTTTTACAAGTAAAGTTGGATGAAAACAATATCAAAGTTGTAGATCTCGACGAGATTTACAACTTTCACTACTACAAAAAATGATTTTGCGAGGCAGTGTCCAAACATTAACTGAGGCGGTCACAAAATCCAACCGCCTAGTAAAATGCCTGAGGATTTTCGGAGGCGGCCTTTTTCATTTACGGAGGTGGTCAACTTTGCCCGCCTCGTAAAATCGATTTATGAAGGCGGTTGTCGGTGTTTCGAACAAACACCGGCGAGTAAATTTGTAATTGATGCGCGTTAGGCCCGGATGGTGCGCTAAAGGACACAAGGGTTATACTGGTTCGGGCTAAATGTCCCTACGTCCAGTCTGTTGCTGCTCGTGTTATTAGCACCGAATGAGGTTCGTAGTAGGGGGTATA